ATCCTGGCTTTAGATGGGACCATCGCCTGCTCCCCTCCCTTCTCTTCTCAAGCTCGTGCCTCCAGTAAGAAACATCTCTGAATGTCTGCTGCTAACATGTGAGGTGAACTAATCCATCTGAAACCCTGATTTTGTTCTCTCTCCCTCCCTGTCCTGCAGTGCTAAATCAGCAAATGATGATCATGGAGATGTTCATCATCACTTTGGTCACTCGGAATTTGTACCGTCGTACATATGACCCACTTCCCCCTGAGGAACATGACAATGACCAGAATGCTAAAGCCGCCCTGCAGGCTTGTCTCATGGAGCATGACGTCTGAAAAAGGAGACAGTGACGAAAGAGTGGGCGTCAGCACTGCTCTTAAATGATGTATCGCACCATCAAAGTTTAGAGATCATCAAATAGTCATAAGTCTGATATTAAGTTTTTATTTTTACCTCATTTTTGTCACTTAAATTTAAGAAGAGAGAAAACAGCTTTCCTCTTCTGACTTTCATTCCTATTTTCTTTGTATTTTTATGTCTGTGCAGAAAATATGAAGCTACTGCCAATTTAGACCTGTCGCCAGAAGAAAATGTTGGTAATGTTCGTTTCAGAAAAACCACAAATAAGTTGTATTTGCATGTTTCATATGTATCACATCAACATTTTCAAAGTGATGTAATATATGAGCTGACTTTGCCAATGAAAGGTGCAGAGGATAATGGAAGCTGTGTCACATGGACCAGACCCCTCGAGACCAACAAACAACAAAAACTAGTTGTGATGCAATGCCAATGCATGCAGAAACATGCAATGCCAACATTTTTTCTGACAATTGGGTTGGCTTCAGCAGTTAGCATGGTACAACAATTAGAAATGGAGAATTGGCTAGCCTGTCTCTGTCCAAAAAAATCATCCCACCAGCATCTCTAAAGCCTACTAGTGGTTTTCAGGAAGTTATGCGCAGGACTTTTTCTTGACTGTGCGCAATGACTTCCTGGAGTCATTACATCCCATACAGTATTTAGGCTACTGTACAGATATAAAAGTGGTATCAATCATCTCATCTAAATCTCTGTAAGAGAGCAAATATGTGTATTTATCACAATGACAAAGTATTCTTTTAAGCTTCACTAGTTTCAGAGCATTATTGGAGACACTGGGGATTTTCAGACTGTAACTAGGATCTGCAGGTGAGGAGCAGAGCCTTCCTACAAAATCCAGAATATACAGAGAAGTGTAACAGCATGCTGTGCAGTGTTTGTATACATGTTATACTGGAACTAAACAGAGAGGAAGAAAGGTTTAAAAATTGGAAAAGTGGTCCTTTGGCCGGGAGTGTGCAGGTTTATGAATTTTTGTTTGCATCAGAGTGTTATTTTTACATTTGCCTGGAGAACGGTAAATAAAAACACCTATTTATTTGTGTTATTGTGTGTGTGTGTGTGTGTGTGTGTGTGACCTTTATTGTCTTTGTACATGTACGATTAAATTGGGTGGCTATCCTTGCCAGTGCAAGTGATAAAAAGAGCATGATTACAAAATAAGATGAATAAAATATAACTATGAAAAGAAAGCAAAAAAACACAACAACATATAAAACAAAACATAGCACATATGCCCACACACCATATTGCATATTATGCTTATGGGTGATACTATCATATAGACTATCATATTGCACATCACAGTGTATTTCAGGTGTTCATGTTGAGTGCATCTGGGATAGAAACTGTTTTTCAGTCTGTTTGGCTGTGACTTAATGGCCCTGAAACACCTTCCAGAAGGTGATGGCTCAAACAGGTGATGTTGCGGTGGGATGAGTCCTTGAAAAAGCTACGTGCTCTAAATGTCCTCAAGGGAGAAGTAGAGTGCAGCCGATGTTTTTTTGGGCTGTGGAAATGACCCTCTGGAGTGCTTTTCTTTGTGCTATAACACAGTACACTCTTGATGGAGCAGCAATAGAAGGACACCAACAGTTGTTCAGCCAGGTTGTTCTTTTCAATGCTGCTAAGGAAATGGAGACAATGCTGTGCCTTCTTCACAAGCGCAGTGGTATTTGCATTTCATGACAGGTCACCATCCACGTCTTAAGTGCTACTCTCATAGGCGACTGGACTTACTTGAGTTTCTTGAAGACGTTCACTTCTCATCCAAGAGGCTTCTTCAGTTCTAGCTCTAGGTATTAAGTTGTCATCATCCATCATCCATCATGTACACCCAGGAACTTCAATACTCTCTCCACACAGTCTCCGTTGGTGTGGATGGGATGTGGATTAGATTTTTTCCCTCTTTACTAGATGATCAGTTCTTTGGTTTTGGCGCAAGGACAACCTGGTTCATGTTCAGGACCGGGTTGTCTCTATGCACCACAGTTGTATCATATGCTAACTCGATGATGACATTGCTCAGGTGTGTGGGTTTGCAGTCATCAGTGTAGAGAGTGTAGAGTAGGGGGCTCAGCACACATCCCTAAGGAGAGGCAGGGCTAAGACTGAGGGCTATGGGGAGATGGGGACCTATTCTAACTTCTGAGAGCAGTTGAGTAACAGATGATATGTGAAAGTCCTTAGTCTAATGGTTTAGTGACCAGTCTGTGGTCATCACAATAATGGTGACTTTGGTCAAGGTGTGGGCATGTTTGAGAAAGGCCTACATTGACCTCTGATGATTTTTTGTACTCTCATGGGAAGTAAATGCAAACACAGTATTCAGTTACAAAGCCCAAGTTGCATGTATTCACATATACTGAGAATCGAAGCACTGATACAAATTGGTAAAAATGATCTGTTCTTTCTATTGTTATTCTACAGACTGATACTTGCATAAACGTTTTTGTGAGGAAACTTAATCCTTACTGTTGGCCCTGTACAACTGCGTACCAGTGTGACTCTACCCTTAAGCCTCCTGCTGTGTCTTCTTAACAAAAAAACAGCCAGATTTGTTCAAAGATTGCTGACCCACTTACTCAGACTTATTTGGGACAGGGAATACATGCGGATGAGACAGCAGCTTTATTTTCAGACTCCGTGTGTGCACTTAACAGCCGTCTACAGCCTAACTGTGCCACGTGTTGTTTCCTGAGCAACCACAAGAGGCCGCACTTGTTCCATCCCAACACCAGTCGCCGCTCCTTAAACTTCCATGATTAATTTATATTGATTATTTGTTTTCAGATCAACCTAAACACAATCTTTATATTTTAAAATGGTGAATACAACAAAGTTTACCAGAGTTTTACAGTTCCCCATTTTAAAGGGGAAGAATTAAATCATTTCGAAGTGCTTGTGCCAAGCAAACAGAGTATCCATTAAACTGGCTTACAACATTAAACTGGTTAGGTTGTGTTTACCCAAGATCTCCAAGCCAGCATTTGCTGTAGCCCCTACAGTTGTCCTCTATAACTAGAAAAGTCAAGTCAGACCTGAACATCCAGAGCTGGTTTAGCTGATGACAGAGAATGCGTCATTTGAGTTCATGCATAACCCAAACAAAAATCACATTTATTTGCCTTCTATGAAAGGAGTAAACGTGTCATAGGAGCCTGACACTATAATTTTTAGAAATGTGTTTGCCTTTTAGATGTACAGCTTACATTTAATTGATATCACGAATACTTCTTTTTTTAAATGAATTACCATCATACTGGTGAGAGGACTGGCTGTGCCATGGGTGACTTTTCTTTGGTTTCCAGGTTTGATCTGGTCACTTGATGACTCCTTCAAGGACTTGTGCCATGCTGACAGACTCTTGAATCATCGCCATAATCGTGAGTCTGTTTGTGTGTGTGTGTGTGTGTGTGTGTGTGTGTGTGTGTGCGCGCGCGAAAATGGCAAAATGTGCTCCTGGTGACTAGAGGCCAGGTGTTCATTTGTCTGTCTGTCTGTGGATTGAGGAAAATGCAGTCACAAAACTTTACAGATGTGCAGCTGAGATCAAAATGAAGGCCAAGTTCAAAGATGGGTTTCTTCTGGGAAAGGGTGCTGGAAGTAAGAGGGTAGAAAGTGAAGAGGGGGCCATTTTCCCCTCTACATTACGCCCGTGGGATTATAAGTTATTTTAAATTGTGGGTCATTGTATCACGGGCCGGCTGGGGTGAAGATGGTCTCTAGTGAATGTTATGAACCCTGAAGAGATGATGCTGTGCTTTTGTTTAGTCTGTGCTTTTTTGGTTCTTGTTTATGTGTTTACCTTCGACTTTTGTGCTTGTTTATTTGCCCTATATATCAGTATGAGGACATTTTTTTCCCTTTTCCTGAAGAATTTAATTTCCCTGAATCTGTTCATTTTCAATTATGTAATTATTCTCAATGGCTTGATTGTCTTCAGGAGTGCATTTGACTGTCAAAGCTGGTAAAAAGTCATGCCTTTTAATCTGATTTTATAATAACATCAACAGTTACACGTCACAGGAAGCTTTACTTTGGGGTTTTTGTTCTCTAATAGGTGTTTAAATGAGGCTTTTTGAAGTAATATCCAACATAGATGATGGATCAAAAGAGAAAAATATTATGCATATAGGCATATGGGTCAATATGCTAATTATTTTCCAAACTTGAATATACTAAATGGTTCCACTTTACTGCAATTACTATCTGACATTTTAAATATATTTTCAATACACTTGGGTGAGTTACAGTGGGTTCCTGTGACACACTCAATGCGAATAACACCAGTTTATTTAAAATAAAAGCAAATCTGTTCCATTAAAAGATTATTAGGCTGCATATGAAGATACATTGCATTAATCTGGATGTGATGTTTATATAAAGCCAGATCATTCAGAATTCAAAATTTGGCCCTATTAATGGAGTGTTTGTCTCTGCTGTTATGTAAACAGAGTCATCAGACAGAGAGGAAGAGAGAGAGGAAGGGAAAGCTGTGTTCAGGGTGGGTTGTCGACAGCCCCTGGCTCTGCATTGCTGACGAAAGCTGCTTAGCTCCTCAGTTGCTATGGCAACCAGGGAGAGCAGCCAGACAAAAACGAGGCAAAGGGGAGGGGCTTTCAAGGGAGAAATAGAGGAGAAAGGGCTGGATGGGAAAGATAGACAGAGGGAGGGATACAGACAACCGATAAAGAAACGCACTGAGAGCAACAGTGGTAAAGCAAGGCTACAGACGGAGACAGAGATAAGGTCTGGATATAAATGCTCAGTCCACCAGCTGGGGAATAATAACTGCAGCAAGTGACTGGAGGATACAGAGAAAGGGGGAAGCAGAGAGAAGATGGATGTACAAACAGAGAACATGGACCCCCCGCCTTGTGAATCCCAGTCGAGTGGAAAAATCAGAAAAGGATTCAAGCTGTTTGGCAAACGCAAGCCAGGTAACATTTTTTCTATTCGTGGCAAAGGGGATGGGAACAACAAGTCACCTGTTATCAGGAGCAAAACCAGTGATGGATTATCTGAGACTGCTGCACCAGATTCAGAGCAGGAGCCAGACAAGGAAAAGGCACAGGAGGTGAGTCAAGGAGAGAGGGAGCAGGCAGAAGAGGAGGCTCTCGGTGAAGATGGCGTTATGGCTGCAGCCCCAGCTCGTGCCTCCATTTCTTCAGCCAGCTCAGCCAAGTCCCTCAGCTTCCTGTCGCTGCTGAGGGGTGGTCGGAGAGGAGTGGGGGACCGCAGGGTTCACACCGTGTCCCAGCCTGTGGGTCGGCACCGTCGTGGGCTGAAGGGTCTGTTTGGCAATGTTAAGTTTAAATCAAAAGATAAAGAGGAGAAGGAGGAAGCCCCTCCGAGCCCACTTCTCATGTCGTCCCGTGCCAACAGTGTGGAAATCATCAAAGAGGACCTCACCCTCACCCCCAAATCCCATCCTCGCTCTCTGGACAGCCCAGAGACTGAGAGCTATGAGCCTGAAAAGAGCTTTGCAACACAGGACAGTGAAGCTACGTCCCCATCAGAGACCTCAACTCCCCAGGTGACGGCAGGCGATGTGAGTAGAACTGATGAGCATGTGCCGCCTTTACCCACCTCTGAACCACCCTTGGTACCCGGGGATAACAGCCTGAGCTGCCTGCTGGCAGACATCTCCTCTCTCCTGACCTTTGACTCAATCACAGGGGGTGGAGACATTATGGCTGATGTGGAGGCAGAGTGGGGAAAAGCGAGCAGTCCTGTGAGTGCTGCGGGGACTGAAGTCACGCCATCATCCACATCTCTCTTCTCCAAACCCACCATCTCATCTCCACCGACCTCTGCCTTCATCAACACAGCTGCTACGGCAAAACCCTCTCCTGTAGCCGTCCCCACAACAACCTCTACCCAATCCTTTACTCCTCTGACAAAGACAACTGCAACCTCTTCTCCCAAGCCAAGCTCCATCATCACGACGTTGACCAAATCTTCCACTTTGACGACTCAGTCAGTCAAACTGAGTTCGGACTCTACTCCAGCCCCTGAGCCTTCTGCTAGCGTAAAAATTAAATCAACTCCTTCGCCCATTGCAACGAGAACCTCAACTACCCCTGTAACGTTAACAAGCCTTTCGGCTCCAATAATGGCTCCTCCTTCCATGACCGTTAAATCCACACTGAGCATCACCTCTGCTTCTTCAACAGCTCCTCCGAACACACCTGCCACTGTAGTAAAGGCTCCCTCAGCTAGTCCAACTCTTACCAGTACGGCTAGCAAATTGGCTTCAGAGGTGATCGCAGCACCTCCTCAAGTTGTTGCTTCAGTAAGTAAACCTATCCCTGTTGTGACTCCAACAACTACATCAGCTAAACCTCCACCAGTAACCCATAGCCCTCCCACAGCTGTTGCTTTTACCCAGCCTCCACCTGTTAAACTGGATTCAGCTAGCAGCTTGAACCTGCAAACTTCCACTTCCTACAAACCTTCCCTGAGTTCAGCTGCAGGAGAATCTAAAGCCCCAGTGACAGTATCACCAGCCAGTGCTGTTACAACTAAACCCCCCTCTCCTCCACCCTCTAAGATGACAACGGTTCCCACATCAACTACGACCTCAGGCTCGGTATCTGCGGCCCTCTCCAAACCATCACTTACCTCTAGCCCAGTGGACTTAAGTAAGCCCTCTTCCACTCTTGTAAGTGTTCCAGATGTTCCTTCCTCTACTCTGACTGCCACAACTAAAACCCAACCCAGCCCTGCATCTGTCCCAACGCCATCTTTAACTTCTTTAGATAAGGTTCCTCCCACGACTAAACCCACTCCTGCACCAGTGTCTTTAGATAAGACACCCCCTGCTCCCACACCAACCCCAACCACTCATGCTGTTGTTTCTACAGCATCCGCAACACCTCCTCCCACAGGTCAGACCCCAGTCTCTCAATCTAAAGCCCCTCCTGCTCAGATCCCAGTTTCTGTACCAAAAGATCCAACTGCTCCAGCTTTGATCTCAATTACTCAGTCTAAAGCTCCTCCTGCTCAGATCCCAGTTTCTGTACCGAAAGAACCACCTGCTCAAATGCAAGTCTTTCAGTCTAAAGCCCCTCCGGCTCCGGCTCAGATCCCAAATTCTGTACCTAAAGAAACACCTGCTCCTGCTCAAATTCAAGTTTCTCAATCTAAAGCCCCTCCTGCATCTGCTCAGATCCCAGTTTCTGTAGCTAAACCTCCTCCTGCTCCTGTTCAGATCCCAGTTTCTGTAGCTAAAGCCCCTCCTGCTCCTGTTCAAATTCCAGTTTCTGTAGCTAAACCTCCTCCTGCTCCTGCTCAGATCCCAGTTTCTGTAGCTAAACCCCCTCCTGCTCCTGCTCAAATTCCAGTTTCTGTAGTTAAAGATCCACCTGCTCCTGCTCAGATCCCAGTTTCTCAATCTAAAGCCCCTCCTGTAACAACTCCTGCCACTTGCCCTGTACCCTCTCCTTCCTCTCCTCCTTCACCTTGTCTGAGTGAGGCTGCTAAGATGATAGGAAGTGGACAGGCATCAGTAGATGGGCAACTGACTAGTTCAAGTGGCACGGGTGCCCAGGGGGCCCAGACTGTGCTGCCTAAAACAGAAGAACTGTATACTGAGACACGAACGAGCGTCCAGGGCCCCCCCAGAGAAAGAAAGATACCACAAGCTAAACCATCGGGACTTAGCAAAATACCTGTAGTTGGAGGGGGCAGAGCAGCCAAAATACCTGTCCGGGACAGTCAGCATGATGATGAAGCAAGCAGGGATCCACCTACTCCTGAAGACGACAGGCCCCATTTCAACTCACATGGTGCAGGGAGCAGAGATAAAATCAGTGATGTTGAGGCTAATGTGCCCACCTCAAAACACGCCCAGGAGGAGAGTCAGCAGCTTCCCCAGCCGAAAGTCCTCACCAGTTTACCGCGTGACTCAAAGATCCCTGTGAAGCATGGCGCACAGTCTCACGCAGCCTCCCAAATCCCTCAAGCTAAAGAGCCCGCTCGCACTAAGATACCAGTGTCCAAGGTTCCTGTCCGCAGGTCTGGCACTAAACCTGCAGCTGCAGGCGGCAGCACCCAGTTAAGAAAATAAAACAATGGACTGAACCGACCAACAATACAGATTATGGCTTTGACTGCAACTTTTTTTCCAATATTACTACATGACCACCCTTTTTTAATTAACGTTTCTAGACTGTAATTCTTGGCTTCACAACAACATAAGCAACAGTAACAAAGTCAAGGAGGCTGACAGCACTCAAGCACAAAACATCTCCACAAGGAGCCAAAGCAACAAGCCTGGCTCTTTGGTGCTGAGCCAACTGGACATGCACTCAGGAAAGGTTCGGGGTCACACCTGAACACACAGCAGCATCGGGAACTAAGGATAAGCAAGAAAAAAGGTCTTCTGGGAACACAGTCACACACACACAACACGGGCGAGTGCCTTTTTAAGGGTGCTTTTTCCGACAGACTTTCAGAATTAATCTTTTCTACAGTACTTTTAACTTTTGTTACTCCCACTTTTTGTAGGAACGGTCAACTCTTTTTTGTCTTTCTTTCCAGCGAGTCTTTGATAATAACCAGTCCCTTTACTCTTTATTTATGTCAGGAGAAGAACAGCAGGAGCTCTATAAATTAATGCAACAACCAAATTTACATTCCACACCTATCTCTGGATGTATGTAGCATAAAACGTGCCATTAATTTTTTGCACAACATGTTGAACTGTACAGCGCCTGTGTGTCCGCCTGCTCATATGTAACATGATCAGATCTCACTGTGAACTATGGGGAAGACTGGTTTTTATGGGAGGAGTGGAAATAATTGCTCCCAGTGTAATGGACAGCAGCCATTATGAATGGCACTATGGACAGAGAGGATACTGAGATGAGATCTCTCGTACACTGGCACGTCCTAATCTTTATCCCACTTATACTCAGATGAGAACAATATCTCTGTGTATAGTCTCATCTATGTTGTTCTGTTTCCTATTTAATCAATAAAACAATATAAGTACTTTGCAAGATGAGATCTGTTTAAGTTGTGAATTATATCCTGCATGTTTTCTACATTGTGGCAGTTGGAGACAGATGAGGAATAATGTGGGCACACATTACGATTTACTGGCTTGGTATTAAGAAGCACTACAGCATCTCTTGGGAGAATTTTACGCGGAAGGGAATTACATGAGGGAAAAGTTCAAGAGCAGAGTAAAGAGATATGACAAACATTCTATATAATCACTGACAAATCCCCACTGTGACTCACCGTCTTACTACAGCCTGGGCTCAGAGTGTCCTCATACTGTAGGAACATCATTCCAACATCATCCACACTCAAAGCTCACTGACCTGAAAAGCGAGCAAATGAATGTCAAGAGAGCCCAGCCAATCAGCTGCAAGGGAAAACGCTTAACATGCATACCTTATTATCAGGAAAAGGGTTAGGGAATGTGTGTCATTGCTATTCTTAGTGTGAAATGCTCCCGACGGATGTGCTGCATTATGTCTGAGTGGGTTATTTGATTTAGACGTTTAATATCAGTTTGATATCAGTGCAGAAAAGAACACAATACAGATACTTATTTGAACTGAAAAGGCTGTCGTGAACAAAAAAAAAGAGACTATCTTTGATGTTGCACGAAGGCTATAAATGTAGGAAAACATGTTGAAAAGCAAGTCTAGTGGTGAGAGGGAAAAACCACAGGTTAAAGATGGGACGCTGATCTGAGTCATGGGGTAACGTTAAGAGGAGTCTGCTGTTAGGAATAAAGCGCAAAGGACAAAGGGTGAATTTCTTACGAAAAAAAAGCAGTGCGGTGGTGACACAAAAAGACCTCTGTGTACTTCAGGAAGCCAGAGGCTGCAAGCTGAGAAAAAAGGACCATCACTTCGCCTGAGAAAACACGAGGATTTCACCTCATCAGGTGTTGATACAGGCTACAGAGGGTAAAAGCATCTCCCTGAGAAAAAGAACAGTCTCCCCCTGAGGCTCTGACGCAACACAGGTTTGCCTCTTAGTAACACCTGAGATTTTGGGTTTAAAATATTGAAAAACAGTCTTTAACAGCATGCAGATTTATCATCACGCCTGTTAGAGCAGAGGTCAGGCTGGTTATGAGGGCTCACATTGTAACACAGCATGATAAATTGTATAATGCTCTCCATATAGGAAACTGCTGAGATTTATATGTATCCTGATTTCATAAGAGGAATCTGCATTCAGTGAATGCTGCCTTTTATCAACATCCCTTCACATGATTCCCCAGCGATGTATTTTTCATGCCTTAAGTGATAGTGACAACAGGAACATGTTGGAATAAACTTTTGAGCAATATTGCGTAAGGTGTCTCAGAGTTCCTCTGCTCATAGGTTGTTTGTGCATCTCTAAATCCAGCCCCCTTGCCCCAAATATGTTACACAAATTACAGCACCCACAATGCACCGAGGCCACCCTGGCTTTCTATGGACTGCATGTGTTTGTGTCTGCTTCTGCCTCTGGAGAGGCGACGTGCCTCTTTAGAACCTGATTTAGCATGCTTCATTCTGTGTTTCCATGCCAACCCCACTAGGTCAACCAATGAAAGGCTGCGAGAGCTGGGAGGAGGAGTTTAAAAACATGAGTGCCTTAATGAGCACACTCACACTATACATGCTAATAAGACAGGTTATCACTTCACACGCTATTTTAAATTGAGTTATGGAATTAAAACAATCTAAAGTAGCATCATAATGCTTCACTGTAATGATGAGACATATTTTGAATTATCAGTTTGCTTCCAAACTGTTTTTGTAGTGATCTGAGCTGAACCAGCCATGTATAAAAAACACAACATTGCTGAATTTTCTGTCACCCATCCTACACACCTACGAATATGCTGTCACACAGCCTTAAAATGTGGAGATTCACAGCTCCTGCTTCTTCTGAAAAAGGCTAAACCACATTGTAGATAGCATTACACTCCCAGAAAATCTTTAAAAAATAATAATAAATAAAGCTATGATACTCTGTATCCATGGGAAAACACATCATGTTGCCATGCTGGGATTTAAAAAGCTTCTTTTCAGTGCTCAAACATTCAGTGCAAATTTCCCACTGTTTAACATGAAGTTTATAGAGCCCATGAAACACAATGTGCAACTCAACAGGCAAAGTATACCATTTCACAAATATAATTCATAATCAAAATTATTTATTCTTATTCATATTGAAACATGACAAATGCCAATCATAAAAAATGTAGCATAGAGTCGACTAAAATTACCATTTTTCATACACAAAATATAAAATTTATTAAAAATATATATAAATGCAGTTATTTGTTTGGTTTCAAGGCCTGTGTCTCTCACAGCGGAGGACAGTTTGTGGATGAGGTGTCAACAGGACAGATACCTCCGTTCACTGAGGAGCATCCAGGAAAGGCAACACCTCATCTGCAACACTGTCAGCCCTGCAGCCTCCTCTGCACTCTGTAGTTTGTAAACCAACAGCTGCTGGTCACTTGCTGTTAAAGAGATCTTTCATTATCAGTCAGACTGCTACAAATAGTCAAAGAATATACAGATCAAACATATGGAGTTTATAAAACATTTAAAAGAAAATTATTAAAAAAAATCATTTTGTGTTCAAGATCCTGAACATGATTTCTGCTTTGCTTCCAAAGAGCAAATCTTCAGCTTGATATGCATGTGCTGATAAATGCACATATATGATATATACGAGTTAGAAAATATGGCTCATTGATGAGCATGGGTCTACTAACCATGGGCATTACATCATTCAGTGCAATAACTCTGCACTGAGGACCTCTGCTGGTGTAAACGCAAACTGAAATGCTTTAGTAACGTGGGTGACGCAGTACAAAACAGCATCACTGCTGCACAACATGGCCTCAAATGTAACACATCACATCAGGCCTGCAGCCTCTACTATGGACAGAGGGAGCTAGCTGCACAGCGGCAGGCATGTACCACAGTATCATTGTAATTTGGGAGCATTTTATACTTTTATGAATACAATATTGCCAACAATTTCTAATAATTCATAACAATAAAACCTACAAAAGTGCCTGAAATAACCTCTTCTTCATGAATAAAGTTTGCATAATGTGACATTAAGACTCACTGGAGTGAAAGTGATGCAAAGAGACATGGTTTGAAGTAATAGTAATGGTGGACATTCAGCCCTGCTTCAAATGAGCAAGACAAGACCAGCTTATGCTTGTAGTCTGGCAGCAGCAATAAAATGCTTGAGTTGAAAAATGTAAAGTAATACTCACACTCATGACATTTGAATATTAGTGACAATATAGAAATAATAAATCTGAGTTGAAGTAAAAATGTGCATTCTTGCAAACACAAACACAGACAGTATGATCTTGTTTGGAGAAAGAACAAAGAAGTGGTGACTCACTGATACAACCTGACGTCCAACCAGAAGACAAGAGAGAAGGTGAACGTATAACTTCAACATGGAACATGACGGATACATGTATGACTAAACGCTAGGTTATAGAAAGCTGTTTGGCAGATATGCATCTGCTATAGACGAGCAGCACCAGTATGTACCACAGTTTAGAGGTGGAGCAGGTGTTGTGTTTCTGATCATTTAGATCGGGGATACTCAATTTGTTTTGCTCAGGGGCCACTCTTGCAAAATGTCAGGAGGCCAGGGGCCAGTTAATTAACAAACATCAATAATATTTATCAGTATATATAATAGATGAAATACCTTTTTTCAACCTTGTGATGTTTGTTGTACGTGGGCATGTTTCTAGGATTTGAGGACATTCGGGGCTTGGCCCAGACGTATGTCGGATCCTCCCTGGCACTACTTTTTATAAACAAGCTCTATTCTGATGCTTTTTTATGCACAAATGGACCACAAGTTGTGTATCCCTGATTTAGAATGTTCCCTGATCACGTTTTAATTGAAAAGAAGCCAAACATAACAAGGAGAGTTTAAGACAAACAGAGGTTTTGTTTAAGGAAATCTGAGGTTGGAGAATGTAACTACTAAACTGGTGCGAGATTTAGTGATGCGCTACATAAACAACAACAACAAAAACTAAATAGCTTAATTATAAAACCTGTATATCCATTCTTTTGCTCTGTTATACATGATTACATTATAAAGTGTGCTTTTGAGCATGTCTTGTAGGCTACAGATAATACAAGTGTAAACAGAAGTTCTTTTTTTGTTGACCTGATGAACATCAATCTCAGCTCTGCACAACGTTGATACAAGGAGAGTACCGCAACCTTCCCATGTGACACGACGCTTACCAATGAACTTTAGTGGTGTGGATACTGATCTGTTGGGATCAGTTACACCATAAAATGCATGTGTCCTTCAGCACCCGTGACCATAACATCCATCCAAATACGCATGGCTTCAGGCGACGGAGCGACCATATAGTACACCCGATCGTGGGTCTTCAGACTGAATGTCAGTGAGGGGTTGGGGCTCTTGAGTGCGAAAGTGAATGAAGTGTTGAGAGAAAAAGTGGGATAAGAGGGGAAGGGAGAGGGGTGAGGTGATGCATGTGGGAGGGAGAAAGACAAATGGAGGGAGAGAGGCAGAGAATAAACAGATGTCAGCATCATTCAATAAATGCTGAAAATCACACACACACTCACACACCACACACACACACAAACTGACTTACTTTGTGTGCGTTCTTTAAATGGTCATAATACACCTCCTCTATGGCTTGGAAGTAAATGACTCCTTTCATCTTGGTCTCATGTTTGTCTGCAGAGGAGAATATAAACAGAACCGACAGCACTGTGATCAAAGCTCGGCCTCAGCATCCAAAGTACCCTGCTGGCATAGCTTAAAAAGTGACATCACTATTGCAGTAACTGCATCTCACATCTTAAACTGCACATTATCAACAGAGAACTGAAAACAAAGAGTGACTCACCTGCATAGTAGGTGAGCGTCCTGCGATTCTGGTCAAAGACAAACCAGCGTTTCTTCCATGTCTTGATCTTGCCACCCATTTTGACCAGAAAGCCTCGGCAGGTTTTATCAGTGATGGCCAGATGAAAGCAGGCATCTGGGTTGTGTCCAGCTGCCTCGATATGGCCGTGAAGATCAAAGTCGTCTTTTCTTACAGGGAAGTAGCGAGTCAACAGCCGGGACTGTGGAAAAAGCATTGAAATTAAACATCTGATTGTTCAAGAGGTATTTACATGAAGCACATGGTGAAAAAAAAGATTAAACATTCTCTCGCCAGTAATTCTGAATACCTGTGATCTCTGTTTCTCCCTGAGCTTCACCTCTCGCTCTACAAGTTTCTGTCTCCTGCTCGTCTCCTCCTGCAGTCGTTTCTCCAGTTCCTCCCTTCTTCTTCGCTCCTCTTCTAGAGCATGCCTGCGCATCTCCATCTCACGCTCCTGCACAAGTTACATAGTGTAAATTACATCCATCAACAAACACACACACCCATGGATGGATTATTGAACTGGTTTATCAGGCAGGTCAGGCCCCACCCCGGCTTCACCTGCAAAATGTCTCTGATATTAACATGTACTGACCAAGAAGAGACTCAGAATGACTACAAAGAGACCAAACCACACACGCACACAAACACAAAGAGATGCAAAGGATCTGCAAGGAGGATGTCTTACTCCTGTGTAGAAGAGGTGGTGGATCCTTTTGCATATCTATGCCCAGAGGCCAACTGCCTTGCTATCTGCCCATGCACACATCCATATGCACAAGAAGCTTTAAATTATGTTTGGCACATTACCCGATGCTCGAGGAGCCTATGCTTCTCAGCCTGGGCCTCTCGGAGTAATCGCTCCATCTCCTCAATCTTCGCCATATTAGACGTACTGGCACTGATGGAAAACGGAAAACACCAGTTGTCAAACACATGAAGAACCAGATTTCTGTGATAAGGTGGAAAAATAAAATACAAAGTCATAAACAAACACATAATAAAAAATGGCTTTGTTTAAATTTGCAGGATAAATAGGTGACTCAAAAAACACCATGACGTAGGACTTTCCTGATAATTAACTCATAAGCCTTCCCTTTAAAAACAACAATTCCCCGTGAACACAATTACGAAGGCTCTGACTGACTTCACTATCTTATATGTAACTGTTTGTTAGGGAGTGTAAGTACAGCTAGATATCATGTGGATCATTGTCTCTCAACTGACACAAACACAGAGCATCACATCCTCTATAAAAACCAAAAGCATTTCCTCTGTCTGTTTGTTCTTCAGAATATCTCTCTCATTTCCTGCAGCCTTTATACTCCAACTTCATTTCTAAAAATACATCTCTCCTTATTCTGACTCACCCAAATTTGCAATGTCTAAACTTTTCAAAGTAACCTTTCATCTGTTCTTCATCATGCTCTCTCACTAACCTGGAGATATTGTCAGGGGAGCAGGCAGAGAAGCTCGTCTCCAGGCTGTCAGAGCTGTCCACGCTGACAGTATCAGAGGCCTGGCTGTTGTCCGGGTAGAAGGAGTCCAAGAACACGCTGGGCTCGGAGACCATCCTGCTGCAAAAATCACTTCTTCTCTGCCTGTCTTCATTCATGTGTGCATGGCTGTTGCCTGCTGACAGAAGAAAACATTACAGTAAGAAAGTGGAAATACCCTCAGCATGCATGATCTAATGTTAAAATACTAAATCATAACAAGAGGGTTGCAGTTCATTAATGGCTGGCCATGTGGAATCACATCTTGTGATCATAATTTCATAAAAATCTGGCTCTAGCAGCTGGGCCAAGTTGAACTGATTAACCTGGACAGAGAAGGATAAAGGCTTTTAAAGAGACAGTTAACTCCAAAATCAAAAATACGTATTTACTTTTCCTCTTCCCTGTGGTGCTGTTTATAAATCTAGATTGCGTTGGTGTGAGTTGCCAGTAACAGCCATGTCTGCCTTCTCGTTACTCAAGATAATCCACAGACCTTGTTGTGAGCAGTTTCATGTAGGAACTATTTTCTTTCTACCGAACTACACCCACCATCAGTATCCAGGCAGTATCAGTATCACAGCGGAGAAGGAAGCATGCATTTACTGTGAGCTCACCTAGCTCCATGCATGGATGTATTAAGAGACCTGGATACAGTGTTGAAGGTAGGACCTTTTCATTTCTGTTAAAGTTGCTCAGTGGCACATGAAGCCAAAAAAAAGCTCAATTTCCACATAAATTACCCAAATGATCAGTACTGCTACCCATAGATCAGAGACTTATGCCAGCTACTCCTGCTTTAGCAATCGCTAACTTGAATGGGGATAAAATCACACAGCTCTTTCAGATGTGTCAAATGTTATCAAACCAAGTGGATTAAATCCTGATAGTGGAACGATTCATTTCATGGGGGTTATGACGTTCAAAAAACTGTATCCACTGATATACAGACGTCTTTTTCCCAATGTAAGTCGATAGGAAAAGTCTTTTTGGGCCCAATGGCATCACGTGGCGGACCAGGAAATTGCAGTTCGACTGTTTGGCCACTACGAAACTGGCTTCAAAGCCTGGCACACATCTTGGAGGCCTGGCTCTACTAAGCTAGCTAATATTACAACCCAGTGAAGAAGGAGTTAACCCCTCGCTCTGTCATGAATGAGAGCCTCTCATCCATAAGTAGGTGTATGCTTCCGTCTGTGTGGACACATCGTTGATGGGTGTCGTTCGGCAGAAATAAAATAGTTCCTACATAAAACTGCTCACAACAAGGTCTGTGGATTATCTTGACTAACCAGGTCATGATTTCTGGAAAGAGACGTTGAGTTTTTCAAATGTGTATGAAGGCAGACATCTCTATGGCTGATATCATCAACACTTGGCAAATCACCAAAACAATCTAGACTGATATATAGTACTACAGGTAAGAAAAAAAAAATGTATTTTTGATTTGGAGTGAACTGTCCCTTTAATTGAGTCAACACAGTGGCAAAGGTAATCAGGGTTTCTGAAGCATGACAGTATCTTCCAAAAAACATTTTAACACAAATCCTCAAACATCACACATAAACCCTGTATGGCTATTATGCTACAGTATTTAACATCATGTTTTTCTTGAGTGATACATTTTGAGTTTCTTAAAACCTCATAACACATTTCTATTAAATTACACATTGTTCACAAGTACTGTCATTTCCAATGAAGATACTTTTCATGTGTTATTTGTTTAGAGCAAGCTGTGCAAACACGTCATTTGCCTCAAAATCACAAATTCCAATCTGGTATAATGTTTCGACATTCTGTTTCCACAAATATTTAGTCTTTGGTATCAGATTTGGACCAAACGTGTTTCCCTTTGTGCGGTGCCACAAACTATTGCATCAGTTGAGCATTTCCTGCCCTACATATATAACGCCTGAGGTTTAAACTGGTCACACAGTACAGATTTGATGCAGACAAGATGCGACATCCTGTAACTCTGACTCACTTTTAGGCAGGCGGCGGGTACTCAGGTCCCTGGGGGAGAAGCTGAAGCCTTGTGGGATAACGCTGCCACAGCTGGAGCTTTGGGACAGAGGCAAGTGGGCCTGAGGAGGAAACAGCAGCACACATGCTGTTCAGAATCAGGGTCTACAACCTTCATACAACTACAAACTCCTCTCGTTTGCTAAGTACTCCTTGAGCTGGATGGGTGTTGTAAGCCCGACTGAAACTGTGAATTCCTGTTTGGGTGGATCATTCTCTTGGGGAAGTTCAAATCCTTCCAGATACACGTAATGAGGGCAGTGAATTCCCCTCCTCTGCAGTCCAGAATCATCAAGAGATATACTCATCGTTCTTTCAGATTTGAAACACCAAGTTGAGTCCTACACCTTTAATGTCTGCTAGATTACCTCCGACATAAAGTTAATGACCTTGGGAGGAAGTGTGCGTCCCAGGGATCTGCCGTAAGAGGTGAGGAGCTGCTGGCTCCTCTTATGAGGTAGGCTGTCACTCGGGTGGGAAGAGTTTTCTTTGCCACTTCTTCTCCTTTCCTTCAGAGAGTGCAAGTGCTGACGTGATCACAGAAATCAGAGGAATCACAAAGGATGGAAAGGATAAATATAACAGATCATCTCATCAGAGGCACTGGGTACATTTACATGCACACTAATATTCCACTATTATTCAGAATATGACAGAATTCTCAGTGACATTGTATATGCCAGTATTATTTAGGTTTTAAGAGCATTATTTGGACATGTCCGCAGCATATTTGGGAATAGGCATCTCATTGAGAGTGTATACTGCAGTTCGCAACACATGGCCTATTTTCTGTGAACCGTCAGCTCTGTGCGTTGTCATAGATACGTTCTACACAAACCAACTCGCCCCAAGTTTGCATGGCTGTGGGGTAGAGATGCATTTCCTGAAGAAAGGCCCACATTTCTGGTCAGTAGAAGAAACACACCTACATATCACCGACATCTTCAAGAAGGTGGCTGAAGGAATGACAGAGGGAGGTTGTGTTCGCACGGTCCACCAAGTCCAAAATTTGAAAAAATCCTATTTTGATGCAAAGAACCAAAATGACAAGCAGCTCCAGCTGTTCCACTTGTCTATATTTTGATGTGATAAATGACATGTTAGGGCACGTTATGCAGGGCTGCATGTAAACAAGAGTATTTGGGGAATATTGATTTTCATTCGCCATCTGAACAGCTTAGTAGGCATACTCTCTTTTCTGAATGAGGGCAAAAACCAGTATATTTTGTACATGTGAACGTAGTGCGTGACGGAGACGAAGGAGAAGTATCAACGTAGCTGTGAGCACTTACCTCTTTAATGGCTACAGGGTTGTTAGTGAAGGTCTGCCCCTCGGATAACTCTGCATACTTTCCTTCCAAAGACACCAGTTTCTCTCTCTCCTGCAGACATCGGGATACAATCTTCAAGTAAATAAAATCAAATATTTACAAAATCAGCATGCAAAGGATCTTCTTACCTTCTGAAGCATGACGAGCAAATTGTTTTTCTCTCTCTGGAAATTCTCCCTCTCATGCTGAGCCTGTAAGGTAATCTGTGAGGACTGTTTCTTCAGCGTCATGATTCGTTCCTGTAACAACAAACAAGCACAGTATCACTACATAGTGTCTTGCAACATTATGTGAAGTTGTCACAGTAGCAGATACTGCAGACTGATGCTTATCATCAAGCAGAAGCAGAAACAATGAAAGCAAAATTCTCACTTTGGGGTGGCAAATATAATTTTTGTGAGATTTTGGTTTTCCTACAGCCACATCTTATTTACACAATTGTATACCCTCACCCTGTTAACGCCCCATCACTGTGGAAATTTCCCTCAATTGAAAAATCAATTAATTCTCTACATAAACAGAATTTCATGCTTACCATTTCTGGTATTGCTTTTTCTCGTAATTAGTTCATGCTTTGTACTGCAAATCTCACAATTTTGCAGCTTTATTTTCATGCACAACCTGTAGTAAGATTAATGACAACAGTAATTTAAAAAAGCCCCCAAAAATTTGACAGATTAGGTTAGATTTAACACCTAAACTTCTGATAATATTCAGAAGTCCACCCCTGAGATGAGAACAGGGATATTTCTGTAGGCCTGTTACTTAAACCTGAGAGCAAGACAAAGAGCCTGAACCTCTGAGACCATTAAGACACAGTGTTTTTGGTAGGAACATGCACTGAGAAGTCCATACTAATGCTAAAGACCTACTTTATCATGCTCCAAAAATACCCACAGTAGTCATTATACTGTGGATACTTTTGACTCAAAAAATAAGAAATTTAAAAGTGATGCAGGGCCAGCACTATCTGTGATGTTAAACATGCAGTACATGCTACATGCAGACTCACAAAACCTCACTCATCGTACCTTGCGTGTGACTGTAAGGCGCTGACACTCGGAGATCTCTCGCAGCAGCTCTTGGCTCTGACTTTCTTTTTCCTCGTCCTGATTAATTTCTCTCTCCAGCTTCTGAAACTCCAAATCCTCCAAACTTTTTGTCTGCTCTTCAACTTCCTGCTGAGAGGCAGCACAGACATACACACAATAACCATATTATATGGTACAAATCCACAACAGATGAAAATACACTGTTTAAGAATTGGATTTACTTTTTAAAGGAATGAACTATAACTTTAGATTGTTCATGCCACTAAGGAAATCCATGAATGGAAACAGTTTGAGTTTTTAGCACAGTATTTTTCAGCTCATTATAACATTTAAGCATTTAATGGACCTTCTCCTTAAGAGCGACATATAATAGGTGCTATTTTGGACAATGTAATAAGTGTTAAATTTTCGTGTCCTTCCAAGTGATGTCAGGTTTCAGGTGATTATAGTTTTCCAAATTGACGTCAGATGTGCTAACTCTTTTTTTTATACATGGTAACTATTTGGGCCCCTTCCCAAATGTGGGTGTATGGGATACCAGGGCAAAATCAGAAGTTGTGAATGTGAGACAGGAAGTAAAGGAAGGAATCTGGGATTACACAGAACAAGGTCAAGAGGGATAAAAAGGTGCAAAAAGAAACAAACAGAGAAAACAAAGACTACACAGGTGAAAATGAGAACTGAGGTATTTGGTTCTTCTGTGAGTCTCAGTGATAACATGAGCTAATACTGGAGTATACAGAATAGACTGCCATGTATTGTACTGTATTTCAGTTGCTCTGCTTAGTGGATTACCAGAAGAAGACTGCAGCAGAGAAAGTCAACTAACCGGCCGACATGCAGGAACACAACATTTTGTTTGGAGATGCTTTTACATTTCATCTCTTTGTCCTCTGCTGCACATTTGGACAGTTTTAGGTAAGGATATTTTAGATGACCTTTCGAGCTGCTTTGCAGATCCAATTTGTGATGAACCCTCTTGATCTGGTGCTGTAAGCATTTCCTCTTGGAAACATAATTTGTTTGTTTGGGTTTTAAAGCAAATGTAATTGAACCCGTGTTAGAGGAAACTGTGGTTGAACTGAGCTGATCCCTGAGCGTTTGCTTGAGCTGTGGCTTTAGTGTTCAAGAATCTGTATACGTCTGCCCAAAACCAAACATGGCTCGCTCATTTTATATATTTTTACCTGTGACTTCTCAGTGTGGCTCGTCTTCTCAACACTGTGAATCTTTTCCTTGAGTTTTTCCAAAAGCTCCTTTTCCCTTTGCAGCTGGGCCACCTCCGACTCCTGCTCCCCCTCCAGCAGAGCGCACTCCACCTCCATCTGCAGGAGACAGCAGCACACAGTAAAAAAACTACCTAAGAAGTTTGTTGTCAACTTTAGAGGCAAAGCTCACCTCAAATTCAAAAATACATATTTCTAATCTTACCTGTAGTGCTATTTATCAGTCTTGTTTTTCTGTGTTGCCAAGTGTTGGAGATATCATAACTAGAAGGCACTCGAGCTGCAATGTCTCTTTCCAAAAGTCATGACCCAGATAATCCACAGACCTTGTTGTGAGCAGTTTCATGTTGGAACTTTTTTCCATCTACCTAACTACACACATTAACTCTATCACTGCCCAGAAGGAAGTGTGCATCGACTGCAAGCTCACCTAGCACTACTGAGCAAGCTACTTATCATTACAGCTCAGCTGAGGAGGACGCCATTAATGTTTACATGTTGCACTGTTATGAGCACAAGCCTCTTGTCTACTGTATAAATAGATGCATGCTTTTGTCTGCATGGTGATACGGTTGGCTGGTGTAGTTAGAAAGAAAATAGTTCCTACGTGAAACTGCTCACAACAAGCTCTGTGGATTATCTTCAGTGACTCAGTCGTGATTTCTGGAAAGAGACATTGCTGTTGAGGTTTTCAAATGTATTTTTTGGCACTTTGAGCTCCACAAGCCGAGTGCCATCTAGTTCAATTATATTCAAAAGAAGACAGATATCTCTACGGCTGATATCTCCAACACTCGGCAACTCACACCAAAACAATATAAACAAAAAAAGAGCACTACAAGTAATAGGAAAAGTATGTATTTTTGATTTTGGGGTGAACTGTCCCTTTAAAGTCAAATAAATTTAAATAATCAGACAGAATAAGATGCATGATTTCTGCAGCTTACTTCATCAGCTTTATTGTTATGAGCTTGATTGATAAACCCCTGCACAATGCTCATTGGTTATCAATCAGTCATTTCAAACTAGATAAGAACAAACACTACGACGCTCTTCAGGTGTCAGTTTACATACTGCACTGTGCTGTGTACCTCTCGGACAGACTCCTCCATCTGGTTGTCCAGGTCTTTGATCTTCTGCTCCAGCTCCTCTATGTTGTTCAAAACTTGAATCCTCTCTTCCTCTATATGCGTTACTTCCTGTTTCAGCTGCACGCTCTCCAAGGCCTGCAGTGACATCAGGAAACCATTTAAATGCTTGGCTGTGCAGGAGAGTTCATCTTTTGTGAATGCACACTAACTGTAACTTAGCACTCGTTCATACTTTAGATTGAAGAACTGCACATGAAAATCCCTGTTGTAAAGTTTATTGCTGGTAGCTTCTCTGGGTGATTGTATAATCAGTGCGGAGAGTTCTTGCACTATGAGAAAGTCATTTTTTCCATGCATATTATATGTTGTTAAACTCATTTGCCTGCCAGTAGAATCAGACGACAGCAGCTGCTGTTTTAACTCATCCAAAGCTGGATCACGGACAACAGGGGCAGAATTCTTCTCTACTTGCTGTAATGGAAATCTCTATCAGTGCACTCCAATGCCAGTCGTGCCAAAGGACTCCCACGCATTTCATCGTCTGCCAACGTCCTACAAGCATTCATTCATACTCATACGTGGGCACATTTAGAGATCCTGCATTATCAGGTATTCTTCCTCTTAGGAGTCAGGAGGATTGTTTTGTGGTTACAGAGTCATGTGGTCAGCAGCTCTAGGATTTATAGTTTCCCAGGCTGGTTTGTGAGTGCTCTTTCTTCCTGCACAAACTGCTCTGTGGTATGCAGATGGTGGAAGAGAGGGTTTTTGAGTCTGTAAACCTCTGTCACTATTGCCATATTGCAAAATGGTGGTCTCAACTTGAAAAACTTATTTCTATAACTCTAGGTGTGTTTAGAATGTGTCCTTCACATACAAAACATATACCTGTGTCAATGTGTTATGATTTTCACAAGGTCTCCCATCTATTTAGTGTCAGTATTAAGTTTTAAACATCTGGAAAAATGCATGTCTTTTCCATGCATATACACTAGCCTTCTACCCGCACACAGTCGTGCACATGCGCACACACACATGCACACACTAATTCTCTGCGGGATAAAGTCATTTCCTGTTCCCCTGAGTTTGAATGGCTGAGTGCTGAAACAAAACTAGGACTTCTTCATTAAAACCAGACACACCATTAGCTTGTTACCGCTCACTGCTTCAACAGAGACAGTAAGTCAGCCGCACCAGGACTGGGACAGTGGAGGAGGGGGTCAGCCTGTGAACTTTAAATCATGGTATGTGATACAGTCAATATGTTTATATTTGTAAATGAAGCATGTTCGTTTATTTCTCAGTATGTACGGCGAGGCTTCCCACTGAGACACGTTCAGAAATAAAAGAAAAGACGAGGTCGAGTCGTAGTGACATCAAAGCTGCGAGGAGGTCTTGCTCAACTGTGATGTCCCTGTTTATGTGTCTGAAGAACCCACATAAACAGGAAATGTACCAACTGCTGACTGCACACACTTATAGTACACAACGTCTCACTGAAAGCCCAGGGATAGAGAGGAATCTGCTCGACTAAAAGAAGTTTATGTGTTGAATGATACTGTGGAAGACACACACTAAATTCAATTACCATGGATGTGTCAGTATATGACTCAGAGTCTTCTTTAGAGCGTCATGCCACATATGTTTGCACTTTCCTTCAAGACAAATCCACTTTGGACCAAATGTAAAGCAGAATTTGTCACTGCATGATGTATGTTGATTTGATGTTTTTGGACCACATTAACCCTTTCAGCTCTGCTGGTTGCTTCTAAACTTTAAGGGGAAAATGGTGGCACTCTGTCTCGAACATGATTCTATACACATTACCTACGTAATGAACATATGGACACACTTATGGAAACTTTGTAATCTGGACTAGATTCTGAAATGGTGTTCTGTGGAAATGTGTAAAAAGGAAATGGAAAGCATGTTTTCTGATACTACTAAAGGTAAACAAACAAAGATCAGCAAGATAGCAGCAGTCTGATAAACTGCATACCACAGGAGGGGTGCGTCCCATTAGTCAGCTTGCTCCCCTCTTCACACACTTTACAAGGATAGCTCGGGTCTTTTGAAGTGGGGTTTACATGAAGTACTCATCCATAGTCAGTGTATATACAGTAGAGGACCATCAGCATGCCCCCTGTCACAGCTCAGAGTTCTTAGGTTATGTTTCATTCATTCATGTTGTTTCCTGTTTTACTTTGAAACTCACATCTCCTGTTCCAGATAACTTCACTTCCTGCCTCTGTGTGTTTTCCCTCCCCTTTGATGACTTCACCTGTGTCTGATTGCCTGTCCCGCCCTGATTAGCCTCACCTGTGTCTCGTTATCCTTCCCCTCACCAGAGTATTTAGTTTGTGTCTTGTTTTCTCTCAGTGCCAATTTGTCTTAGCTGCTTGTGTATCTAGTGTTCCAGCCTTTTGTTTCCTTTCTTGTTGTTTTTTTTTTTTTTTTGGATTTAGCCTGCTGATTGACTCTGCCTCTGCCTCATTCCTATGGATTTGTTTGCCTCCACTGAGTCCGTTTACCGAATGTACCTTTTGACCAGTAAAGACTGTTATTTTACCCAAACTGTCTCCAGAGTCATGCGTTTGAGTCCACCAGTTGTTTCAGCCCCCAATTTGGAAAAGCAGGCATGAAAGTTAAGTGTATACTACAACATTCCCAATTTTCCTATTTTTCATGACCTCTCCTGGTTTCCTAAAGGTGTCACAATTCTCACATATTCCTTCCAATTTACAAAAAATTGTCACAACCTGTTTCTAGTAGCATACAGCGTGTATAAGCCCTTCACTTCTAAAAGTCTATTGTTTCCACCTGGGCAACAATATAGCCACAAAAAATGCCTTTTACTGGCATGCATGTGACGCGAAGGAGAGCTGCTTGGGCCTCGTCCTCCTAAGTGTGTGAGAGATGGAAGAAATAATGGAGAGGAAGACGTACTCAAGCGAATTTCAGACATCCTGGAAAGAAAAATAGCCCTTTATTACGGAAAGTTTTAAGGAGAGGGGCATGGAATTTGTAAAATCTGCCACATCGATTTTTTCCTTTGAGCATGGTGGTCGCACAGTGTGATGAAATTAGCTAATGAAAACTGATGAATATCAGTTTATGCCAGAGAATCACACAAGTTCACATCAGAGGGGCGAATTATTCTGTATTCTTTCCTGATAATTAAAAGTAAAATTAAGAATACCATAAAAATGCTGTTGTGCTGTCCTCATTATTTTTTTCACTCTCTAAAAGTCACCAGAATGCAGGAAACAAAGTCTCTAAAGCTCAGATTTTTCCTTCCTATTTTTGCAGTCTCAAAGTATAGTTAAATGATGTACTGCAGTGGACAGGGGCAGCAGCAAAATGTATTTTAGCCACTTAGAAAAATCTATGCTTCATTAGAATCTTTTCATCACTTACCTTGCTGTCAGACAGCCCTTTCTGACAGGGAACTGAAAGTGAAACTTATCTGTGCTCTCTTCAAAGCCAGACTCCATTGATAAAAACAGTAATTTTGCCCTGCAGAACACAGGAACTGCTGGTCTGTTAGCTTGTTCGTGTTATTGTGACTTTGGTGTGTTAAAGGGTTAGTTGAGATTATCGAAAGTCATAAAATTACGAGTTAATTTTTGTCAAAGGAGCCTGGTTGCTTTGAAGAGAGTGATAAATGGCTTTAGTTCCCCGTTGGAAAGGGTTGTCTGACAGCAAGGTAAAGTGGTAAAAATATTCTAAATATAGTATCTAAATAGTTTTGCTGCTGCCCCCGTCCACAGCAGTACATTGCCTTGCTTCCGTGGTGGTACTCCTGCCTGCTTCCTGCAAACTTTGGGCACGCTGACTGCCATCTACTGCAGATAATATGTGGACAATGGATAAGTATCTCATACAACCCCACTTCAAAAAATCTGAGCAATCCCTTTAACACCTGTTGTAACAGGAAGTCACTGAGAGGAGGTGAAGAAAGGATGGAAGGAATGAAAATAAGAGGAGGACAAGATGTGGATAGACTTGTGGGTTTTTTCCTTAAGTGAAAATGTGTGATGTATGATTTTGGCCTACATAAATGAAATGTACCTGACTTGTGTTGCTCCCCTAATGATAAATTACCCCTTCATATCATCTTTCTGACCTGATGTTAATAAGGAACTGTGAATAATAATAACTTTGGCATTCTTACTTTGGCTCTGTGGTGGGTGGATGGTGAGGGGGCACTGCTGTTCAGGCTGATAGCAGGTGAGTGGGACCTGGCCTCTCTGTAGCCGCTCTGCTGACGCTGGCTGACCTGCTGCTCCTCTGTAAGCTGGAAGTCTCTGGCTTTGGCACCGAAGCAGTTCTCTGGAGCAGTGCTGCTGGGAGAGTCCGAGAACACCGACTCATCGTCAGACACCTGCAGCTTCTCCAGCTCCTTGTTGATCTTCTGCAGGTCAGACACAGCTGAGCCCGCCGGCTCTCTCTCCACCTGGCCAAACTCAGTGCACAGGTTTAAGATGGTCTCTAGACGCTGGCACTCCTGTGGAAAGGTCATTTATACTTAATTATTTTACAATGTTAACTTTAATGCTTTCAAATAAGGTCAAACAAGATGTCAAATGGATGAATCAGATTCAAACAGAAACTCACCAATCTCTGCACTTTCTGCTCCCTGAGTCGTTCATCTCTCTGGTGCTGGTGATAGTCTCTCAGCTCCTCTTTGCCATTCAAAGAGGTGATGCTGCCCACCCTTTGCCCTGGACTCAATCCACCCTTCCCAAAGGACAACCTCCTCTCCCCAAAGCCCAGATCGTCCATATCTATACCAAGAGAGCTCAGAGAGGCCAGGCTGGCCCTCCTGGGAGTGCTAGGCATGCTGGCTGGTACTGTCACATCTGGCGGCTGCTCCAGGGAGGAGAGACTGCGCCGCTGCCCTGCTGAGCCCACTCCTCTGTGGGAACCCACTGCATGTCGTAATGGTAAAGACAGAGCAGGGGGGTCTGCCACGTTGTGAAGCCGTGGCAAAGAACGGCTATGCAACCCCAGGCTGTTGAGGGAGCCGGTGGAGTACTTCCTTTGCCGAGAGTCTCCTCCAGCTTTGCCCTGAGAGTAGAGCCGGCGGCCCATACGAGGGCTGGACGGCACACTGGCTGCTCCACTTTTCACCCTGGGAGAACGAGGTCCATAAGAGGAGAGCAGAGAGCTTCCCTCTGCTGCGTTAGAGAGGAGCAGGCTGTCTTGTGACTGGTGGCGAGAGTGGGAATGACGGAGCAAGCCGTTAGAGCTCAGCTGGCGTTCACCTTGGCGAGGTGATGGAGGCACGCTGCTGCTGGTCATGTAGGAAAAAGTTCTGGAGGCAGATGGAGGCCGATCAGTATTGCTGAGGATTGACAGCGGCCTCGTGGACTGGGATCCAACAGGTGGGGGCACGCTGAGGTACTTACGGCTGCACTCAGCTGCCCTCAAGCTGGCCTCCAGAGCGCTCTTCCTGCGCTGTAGCGTCTCCATCAGATCCTGTAGCTCTGCCTTTGAGCGAGAGCCCCTCAGTATTGTCCCACCAACTGAGCCACTGCTGCTGTGGTCTATCTTCACACAGTCTGTAAGAAGAGAGAGAGTTGACAGAGCATGAAGTCCTGTCCCTTTTTGGGCTATATAATAGAGTCAGGTTTAATGTAACCTATTTAATAAGCACCGGCTCAGCTAAGAGAAGAGCTATCACACATGTGCTGAGTAAGGGGGGGAAAACCAGCGAAGAATGTACGCTCATACAGTTCTGAGCCCAACACAAACATTGGCTCAATCAGTGGTTAAGCTTCTTCTAAAAATGGAAGACTACTGGTGGACCAAGACAAGCCAGAATGCATCATAGTCTCGACTGCAAGAGAAATCACCCCAGCCCAAATATCTTAGCAAGCAGTGTGACGGCGGTGCCCTGAGTCATGGGTGGCTGGACGCTGAGTCATTACAGAGTTGTGATATTGAAGAATGTCCACCTCCTGTACTCCTTTGTCATAAAACTCCGTCACAAACTTGGGATTTACAGATTAATTCTGGTTCTATCTTAGGGCTAGACTGTTATTTAAATTTGTGACAGTGGTTAACTTCTTATCAGAGATCATGAAGGAATAAAGCTAGTATCTTCTCCTCATAAAAATGGCTGCCATGTAGTCTTGGAGTTGGAACACATCAGTTATTGGTCTTACAACAATATAGCTTCTGGCCAGCAGATATCCAGGCCTGGATCTCTTTTCCTGTGTGCTGGTCCTTGTTAACAATTCAATTAGCAACTTTAGACAAACCAGACAACATTTCAGCTGATATCTATGTACAGATATCAACATACGAATGCAGATAAATGAGTAAAAAGCTATATCAGCATCAGACAATAGCCAGTGGGTTCAGAGATTGCATTTTGGCCAATGCAGTTTGCCTAATATATTCTCCACACGAACTGTTTACCCACATGCAACCAAAGCCCACTCTACTGATTGGTCAGTATTACTTGAACTGTAAATGGATTACAAATAAAAACCAGAACACTTCCAACATCTTGTGTTGTTGCCTACAGATTCTGCATTCATATGCAGTTAATAGAGATTAGCTGTCGCATAATTCCTCTCAATCATCTCTTATGACCCACTAAAAGTGTATGGCGGTGTTGGTCTCTGCAGACACAATGCCCTCTACCTGTATTTTCTTACATTGCTGTGTTTGGGACATTTCTGGGCCTCAACCGTTGGGCAGTGGTGTGGAGCCCCCTGCCAATTACAGCACAGGACTCTATAAAAGCATAAGGACCATGAGCCAGATCATCACGTATCTAAGTGGAGCTGTGAATTAGACGCCTGGTCTGGTTGCCAAGCAGTTTTTCAATAGAAGTTCTTCAGATGCATAAAAGCAGCTTGTTGGCTACCTCATAGTATGTGTTTATTCCTCAATTACCCTGTAAGTTATTCATATTATTTTTGTCTGGTTGGGTTCACTTATCAATCAAAAGTTGTGAGTATTAAAGTGGTGTTGTGTCAGTCAGTCAGATGCCATAGTGATGCTGAGTGACAACAGTACGTACTTTTTAAGGGCAGCTGCAGTACCCACTGAAGGTAAAAAGAAAAAGTTTGCAAGTCAGAATGCACCCTTTAAATGTTGTACTTAGAAACCGCCACTGACACATCCTTCTCATTCTGCCCTAAAGCTAAAACTCTTTTCAGCCAATTAATACTGAAAATACAGGCGAGAAGCTTCTTCCAAGAGGTACATTTGACTAAAACCCCGAGGCCCTTGAGGTCTTGAACACGGACTGATGCAAAAAAAAAAAAGCTGTTCCAGGTTCCAGGTCCCAGGTTAAAGAAAGTTTACTCAATAAACTTCCAGGCTTCATGGAGCACTTAACTAATCTTAATTTACATGATTTAACCAGTTGAAATTGTCCTGTTTAATGTCATTCAGCTGACTGTGTTCTTTGAACACAGGCAGGGGATGGATTTAATTAAAAGCATATGCAACATGCAACCAAATATTAGATGTGAAATGTAGATTTCTGTGAGAGTCACTGCTGATTTGACCCAATTAAAGTGATCAATATCAAGAAAATATAAGCAAGAAAACAAAAACTCCTCTTGAATGTTGTCTTACCTGAGCCATAGCCCAGTGTGGCGACAGCGCTCCTCTGAGGAAGCATGCTGTTCATCACACTGACCTCCTTTCTGTGATTCAGTCTGAGGCTTCAGGATTCAGCTGGGCCCTATGTGCTTTGTTCCCTGAGAAGAAGAAAAGGGAGGGAATCAATACAAAACTTTCACAACAAGACAACAAGACTGAAAAAACAGCAACTTCCTGAATTCTTTATCATCAAAAAGGAGTAACACCTCATATAAAATCGATGCATCCTAATCTTACCTACTGGAATATAAATAAATGCTGTACTTAACAGTTGAATCGGTTCATCTCTCCACCATGACAAACTAGTATTCCTGCAAAACCACACAGCAGCTTTCAATCTAAAGACAGAAGATTTAAGAACATCGCAGATCACAGGAAGTTGAATCCATTCCTTGCGGTCTCTCAATGTATCCTCTAACAACTCCACAACAATACCTCAATTCAAGCAGATATTTCAGATGTGCATATTTAAACGGAAAGGGGAAAAAAAAAAGTTCCTAAAGACTAAGTAGGAAAACAGATCCAGAGGAAAGTTTTTATGCCTGGCTCTGTGTCACCAATAAAAAGTCTGTCTGAAAAGCAGCACTCTGCACCTTAATCTGTCTCTTAACCCCGAAGCTCATGACCAGTCCTTGAAAGTATTCCCTCAGAGCCTCAGACTCATTGAGAGAGCAGCCACAGTCAGAGGTTCAGGCTGGGTCAATCTGGACTGGGACTGCTTCTAAACACTTTTTTAAAGAATAAAACTAAATGTGTTTCTCATTAATTAAGTAAAAATATACCAAATATTTGCTGGTTATATCCTAACAGCTTCAACGGTTGCTTCCTTTTCACTATTTCATACTATTGTAAATTAAATTATTTTTTCATTTTGGTTTCTGGTGACTAAAGATGAGATTTCTGGCATTAGAGAGCGTAAATGATTAATCAGGGCATCATAAACATAATCCATAGATCAGATGAGGATGAAAACATCACTAGTACAACCACAGTTACTCTGGTGAAGATGTTGAGCAGCCAGCAGCACAAAAAGAAAGCCGCACTCCCTCCTACAAGAAAAAAAAAGCTAAAAGAAATAAATCAAATAAAACTAAGAAATACATCTTCAGGTCCCCACACTATGGGTCATAACTCAGAAAAATCAGATTAAGTGAAGATATTATTGGTTTCAGTGTTACAACAGAGGGGTTTTAAAAGTCAGACATTGCTCTTTCCTGAATCCACAGACAGCACACGCACACACACACACACACACACACACACACACACACACACACACACATACACACAGACTCACACACACTGCAGAGAGAGACAGAGATGGCTGATCCAAGACTTTCTGCTCCTGCTGTCTGGAGAGAGGGCCTACAGGAAGTAGGGTATCCTTTTACACAGTCACACAATCAATCAGCATGAGTTCATTCTCCAGACCTCCTGAAAAAAAAAAATAAGGGGGGAAAAACCCCGGCCTCACGTCAGGAGGTTTTACTGCATCGTCCAGACTACAGGCTGGCAGGGTAATGGAGATTATAAACACAGAGAGAGATGTAAACAGTTTGAGGAATGGTCATGGGTAAGATGTTTTTCATCTTATGTGTGGTAACACTGTGAAGATAACTACTTTCATGTTGCAAAAGGCTCAGACTATTGTTGTCTCAGTCATTGCCCAGTCAAACACACTGATTAGTTCCATGAAAAGTAAAGAGAAGGAAAAAAAAAAAAACAGACGGAAATCTCAAACATTCAAAAGAAAGTTTGCAAAAAGCTTTGAAATCAATCAGGCCAATCTTCTGGTATCTTTTCTTGATTGATCATTAGGTCTATAATATGTCTGTTGTAATTTCCCACAGCCGAAAGTGACACTCCACATCTTATTTAGTCTGACAAACAATCCCAAACCCCAATATTCAGTTTACAATGATATAAAAACAGAAAAAAAGCAGCACATTACAATTTGTTTAAGATCAACTTATCGATTAATCGACTCAAGACACTGCTTTTACAACTGATTCAACCTTATGCATTAAAACAAACACACACTGCCTTATGCAGTCAACAGCTTGAGGACTCACACGCTGATAACCACTGCTGGCTGTCATCCACATCTGTTTTTAATTGGTTGTGTCCTTTTCCAGCAATGTCAAGTCATAAACATCAAGTGTGAACACCACCACCTTTTAGCCTCCTAACAAATCCAGATAACTGACAACTCAATTCCCTTTACTTTTTGCACATTTCTTTTATACAACAGCTTGCACTGGCCTGAGTTACAGAAAATATTTAACTCAAACCATTTTTAATTTCATGCACATGTTCACAGCTCTACAGTTGTCAACAGACTGTGCATGCATAAGTGAGAAATTAAAATGCAGCCCTATGATTCTCTCGGAGCATCACTGTGTCGACTGAGAAATACAGGAACTGACTTAATCGACTTTAAACCAAGCAAAAGTGACCAACCTTTGAACCTTTGATCTCTGTCCCATTCACATAGTTGAGCCTGAGTTGGGTTTTCTTTCTTTCGCAGCTGAAGCTGAAGTCCTCCTCTCTATCTCACTCCCTCTGTATGAAGCAGCAGAGTAAAGTCTTCCCATGACAAAGGATCAGACAGGAGACCCTCTCCCCTCCCACCTCAACTTTCAGCTCTCCTCCCAGGAGAAGAGAGGAGGGGGAGAGAGTGTGTGTTTACTTTTCAGCATCAGGCGCTGCTGCTGCCCCTCACTGGTCAGATAGAGGACTGCTCTTGTATAAAGAAGCAAAAAACCAAGGGAGTAAGCATGATCAGCCTGTTAGCTTTAATTATAAGTGTCCTTGAATGAAAACCTGACCTCCAGCACAGATTTCTGTCTTTCTGCAGCTGATTCAGACCTTTGATCTCATCATGATCAATAGGCAGCAGTGTCATGTTATCAGTATTCCAGCATGGAGCCACTGGGTTTGAGTGAGTTATCTGTGCTCATCATGTGACAGTGTCTGATCTCCATTTTCCAACTCCTTCCTTAAACCTTCACATACTGTCACAGACTGTACTCTTGCTTACAATGGCTGCAGTTTTCTTGCTGTTTGGCCAATTTGTTACCAACACACAAAAAAAAAAGAAACCTAAACTTTTTCCAGTTCTCACACAGCAGAGTCTTCCCACAATGTTTTCTGTAGGAGAAAAAGCAAAAGAAGGCATTAGTGCTCAAAATTATAAAAAAAAAAAAAAAAAAAAGTTGACTCTCAGTTTGTTGTTTCAGCAGTATGTGGAGGCGGGAGGAGGCCCCATCGCTGTGTTTGAAACAGAGCCAACCTCACTCCCCCTCTTTACTGTGCGGCAGAGAGTAAAAACCCCTTACAGTAAGAGACATAACCCACACTGCGACATGGAGTGTATCTAATACCCAGATCATTCTTTGATCTAATAAAAGCTTTATCAAAACTGATCAGACTGCGTACAGACTGTGGACAAGTGAATAAAATGTGAGATTATGTAAGTTCTGATAGGAGAATGAATGAAAAGTTACTTTGGAAAAATCCCCCCCCGAATCCCACTGAAAATCTAAAACCATCATGCCAAAAAACTCCAATTACATCATAGGGAGGGGGCTGCGGAGTGCAGCCTGGACGAGATGATTACTTCCAGACACAGAGCCGGGGTCTTTGTCATAAAAATGCACACACATGCACACCAACACACACACACGCGCATCTGTCTGCCTCTCGCTCTGTCGTTCCATCAATCTTTACAATTTCAGGAAAATAAAATGACACATATAAATCCCAGGAGGGTCTCATTTGAAAAGTGGGACACTTTAAATTTATTGCCAACACAAAGATTTAATTGACATAGAGAGCTGGAATGTTTCTCACTTCCTGTCCAAGGAAGGTTTAAAAAAGAAAAAAAGGTAAGATTTTAAAGCAGCCACACCACTATTTGCTGCGAAATGCTGCGTGTGTTTGCATTTTTTAAGAACTACAGACTGAAACCATGTGTAGAGTGAATTTAGGGATTCTGCGTGAAGGCCGTGGAAAAAGTAGGGAGGAAGGGAGCACGGAGGATGGAAGAAAGACGAAATTGGTGTCGGATTGTGGGAGTGGGTGTGCGATCAACTCTGGTAATTGTTGGAAGGTCTGAGTCACAGCGTGAAAAGTCTCAAGTGTCTCTCCCAATCACAAGAGGCCAAAGTCAACAGGCAAATTTTGGTGTTGAATCTGGATCTGTTATGGTTTTTTTTAAACTGAACCATAGCTTTGTCAGTTCATCTTTCACTGTGTTCTGTTCAGTCGAACCTCACCATGTTTCTCACCTGCTCCTGGACACAAAAGTTTGACCCCCATCTTAACCTGTATTCACCTGAAATTGAAAGACTTGCAGTTCTTGTGACCACTAATGACAAAATGAGCCAGTCCTGAAGCTGTTTTTGGAGTCAGCCTATGGTTCATCTACATAAAGACATCTTAATGAGCAGGATGTCAGCCTTCAGTAAATACAACCCACATCACAGCTATTTGCAGGCTTTATCTAGATGACCGGTTTACTTTGAAAAGTGGCTTAAGGCCCACTTGAAACCACAAAACAAGATGGCTGAGTGTTTGTTATGCTACTGGGCCTGTAATCATATGGCTGTGGTGTAATGTAGGCATCGGGCGGACATCTTTGGACAATGTCATGTTTGTACAGATGATTTATTTGTGTCATTATCTGTGGTAACAATAAGTTCATCATCCAAATCAAACTGTCATCCACACGGATCTGTTGTGGTTTTCGCTGGCTTCACAAATCAGTCACTCAAGACACAAGAAAGCTGCTGCTTTTCTGTATACTGATGAACATAGTGATATAATAGATGCCTACACACAGCTGAGCATCTCCTTACCGGAGCCTCCTCACTCATCCTCCAGGAGAATATAACAGCTGAAGTATGTGGGAGGAACTCCTTAGAGACATTTTTATGCGCTCTGAAATAAAGCAGCACAACCTTGAATGATAAAGATGACACATAGCAGAAAGCAAATCTTTACTTTCTGTAGAAAAACCTGATTATCACCAACAAAAAGTGCAACTAAAAAAGGCTTGCAGTAAGTTTCTTTTTATTTTAAAGTCAAGAAAACAAGCTTACACTTAATGTTAATAATAATAATAATAGTTGTTCACAGTATATCACATTATGGCGAGGAGCACCCTCAAAGAATTTTACAGACACCAGTCTATTTGATCGTGATTGGTCCGTCTGTTGGAGTTTATACGTGCATTATCCTCCACTGTGTGTTGCTCACTTATGGTCAGATGATTTAATCACGTTAAGTTCATGATGTATGAAGCCCAGGCTCAGTGTTTCCAAATCCATCCCTCTCTTGACTGCTGGATTGTGACCCATCATTTCCCTCCGCAGGTGGTCCTACTGGCTTTTCCTCTTGTTCTATTTCAGTGCCTGGTGGTGAAACCACAGCACAGTCCTCCGCTGTGTTTGGCGTACTGCCCGCCACTTCATCCTGTGCTTCAAACTGTAGTTGTGCACTGTTGCATTCAACTCCATGTTCTTCAATTATGTATGAAGCCGAGGTGTTCACACCTTTGTGAATCCCACCTTCAACAAAACTCACTCCGTTGTATCTGTGTGAGGCACTTCTGGTCTCCATTGCTGCACCAGTGAGAGAAAATCAAAATGAGTTATTTGAGAGAAGAAATTTACTGCATGTGACATTGGGCAATACATAATCAGATTTTTCAATTTGTCAATATTGAATTGTGCAGTTGAATTTGCAACAGCATTGTTTCCACCACTTAGGCTGTTTATGACCCAATTTGCTTGTTTGTTAGTGGGCAGGATATCTCAAAACTGCTTTAGTTTTTATTTCGTTTTAATTCAGTTACAATTTTGACAATCAGCTTAGAAAACTGATGAGGTTTTGGTGCAGACAGTGCCACCATATTGCTATTTAGAAGTACTTGAAGTAAGTTTGTGTGACATTCAGAGCATTTAAATAGCATTTAAACAGCAACAAAGCATTATTAAACCCTGGACAGGTCACCAGGCTATCATATGGCTGACACATAGAGATAGACAACCAAGACAACCATTCACACCTAAGGGAAATTTAGAGTCACCAATTAACCTGCATGTCTTTGGACTGTGGGAGGAGATTTACCCAGAGAAAATCCACGGTGACATGGCGAGAATATGCAAACTTGAACCACGAACCCTCTTGCTTAGCGACAATGCTAACCATTGCACCACTGTGCTACCTCCTAACTGCACTGCAATAGCAAAAAACTTTTTCTCCTGAGTCCCTGGTCCAACGCTTTCCTGCCAATATAGGCCACACCTTTGCTCACCATTGCCTTCACTCCTACAAATCATTGTAAGTATTGTTTTCAACATATTATGTTTGTGTAGTTGCAAACAAAGTCAAATTACGAGCTGCCCTGCAAAATTACTTTGCTAACAGATTTTGCTACAGTAACAGGATCCTCTCAAATGGTCTTGAGTTTGACTCACCTCAAACTGGCTGTCATGACTGTCACTATGTTGATGAAGATCTGGATCCAGATGCAGTTTTGCTGACTCGTAAACAACTTTTCTACCTCAAAAAATATTAAATGATTATAGTGCAGCTTTGGCAGTGGTGCAGTGTTTGTGCTCTCTGAATGATTTTATTTCATTATATGATTACCATAAGCTAACAGCAGACCATACCACTGAATTTAAAGGAGTATTTTTTGTAGCTTTGAACCACAGAATCACATTTAACAGCCACAATTGATACATGCATATACTTTCCATCACACAGGCTTGAATACTAGAGTGAATATCTTGCATACCTTTTTTCCTTGCACATTGAAGGAGAATTACAGTGATGGTGAACAAGAATAAGGCTGCAGAAGCTGCAGTGCTCCACCACGACCTCTGCACACTCTGCTCGTCCACATCTGCAGAGCAAACATGACACATTTCTATCAGTGAACTGTTTCTATTTTCCTCCTTGGATTTATACTATCCACTACTACTGATACTCACTTATTGATGCCACAGTGATGTTTACATGGGTTTGAACAACGTGTCTGCTCTGCAGGCCTGAGAGGGTGCAGGTATACGTCCCAGAGTGCTCCTCAATGTCTGGCTTGTGAAGCAGAAGAGATCCGTCTCCCAGAAGAAGCAGGTCCTGGTCCAGTTCAGCCTGACCCTCCCAAAGGTCAAAGGTGTGTCTTGTTTTTGTGTCATATCTCAAGATAACTGTGGGTTCAGTGGACGAAGTGAAGGTCCAGGTGAGGGAGAAATTCTGGAGACTGTGCGGGGCGATGCATGGGATGGACAGTGCATGACCTTCTTCCAGTGTTATACTCTCTGAAACATATCACATTTACATTGTCTTGCTTTTGTCTGTCAGGAATCAGACACAAAATTACAGTGTAATTGAAACACACCTTGGTTTTTCCGAGAGGCAGTCCACACCTGGGTCTTGTCAGCTGCTATAAAAGAGCAGAAGTAGGTATAGTTGGAGACATTACCTAGAATCCTCAGTGTGCTCTCCACAGTGAACAGACCCTTGTGGTCTGTGGTTTTGATGATTGAATTTTCTAGAGCTTCCTGGGCAGAGGGGGGATCTGTGGCCCATGTCACTTGAGGGAGGGGGTAGATGTTGTGAGAGGAGCAGGTGACCATCTCATCGGTCATCTCCATGTTCACTGACTGGATGAGAGCTAGAAGAAAAGCAGAAA